GCGCGGATCTCTTGGATCGGCGCTGGACACGCCGCCACGGGGGGAACAGCGCACAGCGCACCTCCGAGACAAAAGTGGGCCCTTGAAAAGCGCATGCTCGTGCCGTTGCTTCACTCTTCGACCGGCGGCGCGCGTCGAGCGCGTCCGGAGTCTTCTCGGGGTTCGCGTCCGCCCGAGGGGAGGCGGCGGCGGTGGCCATGTGCCGCTCCGAGGCGCGGGGGGGGGGGGGGGAGGCCGGGGCGGACCGAGGGGGGCTGCACCCGAGCCGCCCGCTGCGGGGGAGCGGCACGGATGCGCGGGAGCGGGCAGGGAGGGAGTGCGGGGGGGGGGGAGGGAGGGTGGGCACGCCTGCTTGCGCCTGCGGCCTGCCACCCCATCCAAAAAAAGGGAGGGGAAGGGAGGGGGGGAAGGGGAGGGGGGGGGGGGGGGAGGGAGTGGGGGGGAGGGGGGGAGGGGAGGAAGGAGGGCGGGGAGGCAATCTGGGGCCTATGGCACGCCACTTTGGTGAAGCCATCAATGTTTCACTGCTGAGGGGGCGCTAGGCCTTCGAATGAAGGCGAAGGAACAACACGCTGACGTGCTCCCAACGGCGAGATGTCAGTGATCCTGTTTTCCCCTCCCGAGAGCAAGTGAGGGGAGGGAGAGTTAGGAGGCAACTCCTGGGAGATCTGCGCAAGAATGAGTAGGGGCTACTTCGCCCGACCACAAGGGCCACTGAGTCCGAGTAGCCCAAATAAAACTGGATGAAGCCCGATCAAGGGCACAAGACTGTGCGGGATTATGCCGGACGAGGCCTGCTACCGACCACGGACATACCAGCGCCGCTGCTGAGTTCAACCTTCCCGGACTTGCGTTTTCAAGGGAGATGCAAGGAGGGCGGGCGGGCGGAAGGGAGGGACTTCCAAAGACCAGGCCAGGACAGGGACAGGGCCGGAACGGGATAAGTCGGGGATCTCTGAGAGCCCGGCACTGCGACCTTCTCAGAGCGTTCAGGGACGCGCCTTGAGCGTCAGAGGCCGCTCTGGAGCGATATGTGGTTCTGTCCGGGCCCCGCCCGAAGACGGGCAGGCGCGGGAAATTTTCAGAGGTGCCCCCCCCCATCCTTCAAGAGGGCCCTCCTCCTCCTCGTCCTCGTCCTCCTCCTCCGCTTGCCTGGGGCGATGGGGGAGGAGGAGGACGAGGGGAAACCCGGGGAAGTCCCCGGGTTTCCCCTCGTCCTCCCCCTCCGTCTCGAGGGAGCATGCGAGGCCGCCCGCTGCGCCTTTGCCCTTCTCTCCCTCCGCCCACCCTTGCCTCGCCTCTCGCCGCTCGCCTCCCGAACAGAAAAGCACGCTCACCAACCTGCGGCGCCACCGTCGGAGGGCAGCCCTCGCGCCCCGGGCGGAGGGCGTGAGGAGGCCCGCAGAGGGGGAGGCCGAGTGCGCCGATGTGCGCCGAGCCCCGAACCGCGGGGGCGGGGGGGGGGGTCCTCTCTGCCTCGAAGGCGGGCGACGGTCGCGTCTCCTCCTCCTCCTCCCTCCTCCTCCTCCTCCTCTCCTCCTCCTCCTCCTCCTCTCCTCCTCCTCCTCCTCCTCCTCCCCTCCTCCTCCTCCTCCTCTCCTCCTCCTCCTCCTCCTCCTCCTCCTCCTCCTCCTCCTCCTCCTCCTCCTCCTCCCATTCCTCCTCCTGCTCGGACCCCATGCGAGGCCTCCCGCATGGGGTCCGAGCAGGTGGGGTCGGGGGAGCGCGCTGCGGCGCCGAGGCATCGCCGGTGTCTCGGCGACGCAGCGGCGACGCGTCGGCGACGTCGGCGATGCACCGCCGCTGTCGGCGTGGCGAAAATCAGGCAGCGCTTCGAGCCGCATCGCCGATGCATCGGCGGTGCGGCGCGGTCCTCCCGCCCCACCTGCTCCGGCCCCATGTGAGAGGCCTGGGAAACACGACCTGCTCAAATTCTGAAGCTGGTGTCTCTGCGAGGACACTGCGCGCCCTCCCCATCACCAGGCAATGAATGCGCCACGGCATTCATCAAGCTGACGGGAGACGCAGAAAAGGGTGGGGTGCCCCGCACCAGGACACTCAGACCGAAGGGAGGCCTCCCGATCTGCGCCATCATCCTCGACGAAGCAGGTCTGGCACCACCAGATGGTCCTTGGAGCGCTGCTTGACTCGACGGAGCGGGAGGCCTGACTCGCCCAGAAAATCCGTGGGCTGCTTCACCGAGAAGTGAGCTCTATCGTGTCCGTAACTCTCTGCGGACGAACTCGGTGAAGCAGGCGACTGCTTCACACGTGAAGAGGAAACAACTGGGAGATACTCAAACACCTCACACGGGAACAGGTATCATCTAGCTCGACGGCCTCTCGCCGGGCCGAACACGTACGCGCAGCTGGTAGCCATTATTCCACAGCCGCGCCAGTGCGCCGATTGGCCTGCCAACGGATGCTGTCGCAGCCACGGGCACTGGCATCTGGACACCCTCAGTGAGACGCAACATCATGTACAGCAGGGACTCAACCACGAGACGCCTTCCACCAGAAAGCCCACCCTGAAGCCCCAGGACGTCCATTGATTTTTGGTGTGGGAACCGTCACGCTTTCCATAGCAAAACCATCGAAAGCCAAGAAATCCAGAGCACCCTGGTTGCAAGCAGGGTGTTTCTTGGCATGCGTCTCCGCTGTGCTGAGATCACCAGCAGGAGCTCCTCGACATAGCCGTCGTCTGAGGTCCATGTGCAATCGGGCCCCGCACGCCCCCCCCTGCACAGCGCCATCAGCGTTGAGACCGCAGGCCCTCGGACCTGTGGCACACCGCGCTGCTCGAGTGATGGCGACATGCGCTGCGCGCAGGCCTGGCCTGCCTGTCCCCGCGAAGGGGGTCCCCGGGCCAGGTGGCGAAGCCCCACCCTCGGCGCCGCATCCCTGGGTCGGCTGTCCATCTTGTCCCCTGGCCCCGCCCGGCCCGCTCGCGCACGCCGAGTCCAGCTCAGGCAGTTCAACCCGCGGACGTAACCTGTCAGGCGGGAACCGTCGATGTTCTTCTTGTCGTCGTCGTCGTCGTCGTCGTCGTCGTCGTCGTCGTCGTTCTTCTTGTTGTTGTTGTTGCTGTTGCTGTTGTTGTTGTAGTTGTTGTTGTTGTTGTTGTTGTTGTTGTTGTTATTGTTGCAGGTCCAGGGCCGACAACCGTATCTGAGGCGCAAGACTTCCCGTTACAACAAACTGGCCCCAGCCCTGGGCACCGCGCTTGACAGAGCGCGTTCGGAATCAAGTGTAGGACTGTCCGCCCTAGTCTGCACACGTGCCATTCAAACGTGTATTTTCCAAACATTCGATACCCACCCTCCCCGTCTTCGATCGTAACCCGCCTTGGGGGTATGTCTTCCTTACCTGCCACGTAGAGTTGGCGCAGCCCCTAAAACAAAGGAAGAGCAAGAGGAGGGAAGGAACACGAGGGAGGGAGAAGGATGGAACACAGGAAAAGAGGACGGCCAGGAGCAGGTACGCAAACGGCAGGACCGGGAAGGCGGACAACGGGTGCGGGTCGGGCAGGCGGACCCAGACGGCAGGGTCGACTTGGCGGGTCGCTGAAGCGTCAGTCCTGCAGTAAAATAAAAATAACAAAGACATCCCGAACAACAGCGTGACTCCCAAGTAAATCGTGAGGACGTCCAAAGCGAGAGCGCGATTCTTGAATGGCGAGGGTGCGGCGTCTCAGCAAAGTGCGGGGAAGTCCCGCGCAAAAGCGCGCTTCCTGGAGAAGTTGTGAGATAACCTCCTGGCGAAATCCAGATGTTCAATAAGTCGCGAGGACGTGTCAAGCGGGAGCCTGTGATACTGTTGTTGGTGATGTTGCGTTTACATTCATATATATATATATATATATATATATAAATATTGTTGATCCCCCCGCCGGGGCACATTCTACGTTTTTTTTTATCAAAGTTTTCTCCCTGACAACCGTGCCCTGTTTTCAACAAGGGCGGGGGGTCACCAAACTGAGCCCCTGGCCGCCGAATTAAACAACAATGGCTCCCGCCTGATAAATCGTCAAAATGAATTACAGCATCGCGGTCTCGCGCATGACGTCCTCACAAGTTATGCAGGAATCGCGCTTTCGCGTGGGAGCGCCTTGCAATTTATTCAGACGCCGCGCCCTCGACAATCAGGCATCGCGCTCTCGCTTTGTATTTTCTTGATGTACTTCGGGATTGCGCTATCGTTCGAGCTCCCAATGCGAACCATGCGATATTCACGCTTCAACAACACGCCTGCTCGACCTGGCCGCTCAGGCCCGCCTTCCCGACCCACCCGTGAGGCTCTACCCACCCGATGGGCCCGTCTGGTAATGCCACGTGTTTTCTGCTCCTAACCCCGCTCCTGCTAATCCCGTGCTCCATCCTTTTCCCTCCCCATTCCATTCGTCCTCTCTTCCCCTGTTCTCGTCCCCTATTTCAAACGCTGCGCCAAGTACGCGCGGCAGGTAAGGAAGATATGCCCTCACAGGGGGTTGCGATCGACGACGAAGAAAGCGGGCACCGAAGGTTTGGAATATACTGGTTGAATGGCACGCGAACAAATAAGAGCGAACAGTATAAAGATTATTGATGTTGCGGTTGTTGCTGCTGTTGTTGTTGCTGTTGTCGTTACTGTTGTTGCTGATCGCTCGCGCTTGAAGAATAGGTAATTGTTGATGCCCCCCTCCGGTGCACATCCTACGTTTCAAATATACAGTGCCCCCTCTCGGGGCTCGCACCCTGTTTAGTCATAAAGAAAATGTCCCTGCTCAATCTGTGCCCCTAGACCCCAGGATAGAACAACAACGGCTCCCGCCTGAAAAGTATTCACACATGTATCACCGAATCGCCCTCTCGTGTGGGACTTCCTGACAAGTTAAATAAAATAGGCTCGCGCGTGGGACTTCTCAGCAATTCATAATTTATTCAGACGCCGCGTCCTCGACACTCAGGAATCACGCTTTCGCGCTGTTTTTTTTTGTTATTAAAAAAGGTTTACGTGCGAATCGCGTTATCGCTCGAGACTTCCTCGCGATTCATGCAAGACGCACACTTCAGCAACCCGCGTGCTCGACTTGGCCGCCTGGGCCCGCGTTCCGGAGCCGCCCGTTAGGGTCTGCCCGCCCGATGTGCCCGTCTGGTTTCACCACGTGCTTTTTGCTCCCAGCACCCCTCCTGCGATTTTCTCTCGTGTTCCATCCTCTCCATCCCCCTTTCCATGTGCCCTCTCCTCCCATGTTGCAAGGGCTGCACTACATGCGCGTGGCAAGTAAGGATGATAGACCCTCAAGGCGATACGATCGAAATCGAAGAGGACGGGTACCGAGGGTTTGGGATATACGTGTCGAGTGGCACCTGAGCAGGTAGGAGCGAATCGTCTTAAAATGGGCGTTGTTGTTGAATTCTCTTTTCTGAACAATAAATGTTGTTGATCCCCCCTGCCCTGTAACCATTGGACCTTCTCAATCAAAGTGCGTCTCCCGGGGTTCGTACCCCTTTTTTTGCCAAAGGAAAGCGAAGTGTCACCAAACTGGGTTGTCGGGCCCCGAACTATAACAACAACGGCTCCCGCCTGAAAAGTCTTCACAATGTATTACCGGATCGCGCTGTCGCTTGGGGCTTCCTCACAGTGTATGCAGGAATCGCGCTCTCGCGCTGGATTTCCTCACAGTTGATTCAAACGCCGCGCCCTCGACACTCAGGAATCACGCTCTCGCCGCGAATTTCCACACGATGCCGCTCGTATTTGGGAATTGCGTTGTTGCTCGAGTCCTTCTCGCGATTCATGCAGGACGCACGCTTCAGCAACCCGCCTGCTCGACCTGGTCGCCCGGGCCCGCCTTCCCGATCCGCCTGTTAGGGCCTGCCCGCCCGATCTGCCCGTCTGGGTCAGCCACGTGTTTTCTGCTGCATGCTCCATCCTCCTCCCTCCAACCTTGTCCGTTCCTTCCATTCATCCTCACTTCCCCTGCCTTTGGGGCGGCACGAACTACACGTTGCAGGTCATATATATATATATATATATACCCGAAAAGAGTACGATCGAAGACGAACGGGCGGGTATCGAAGGTTTGGGGTATACGTGTTCAGTGGCGCGCGAGCAGATAAGAGCGAACAGTCTTAACTTATTGTTGTTGTCTTTGTTGTTGTAGCCCTGGGGCTGGCAACCCAATCTGAGGCGCAAGACTCTCCCTTGTAGAAAAGCAGGTGCGAGTTCTGGGAAAGGGCACATCACTTTCAACATGCAACGGTAACCGTGGGGGGATCAACAATCATCCTCTGAGAATGAAAACTGACTTTTCGCTCTAGTATGCTCGCGTGCGAATCAGCGTGTATACCCCAAACCCTCGATACCCGCCCTCATCTTCGTCGATCGTACCCCCCTTTGAGACAATATCTTCCTTTCCTGCCGCGCGTAGGTGGCGCAGCCCCTAAAACAAGGGAAGAGAAAGAGGAGGGAACGGACAAGGCGGGAGGGAGAAGGATGGAGCACAAGAGAGGTCAGCACGAGGGCGGCCCAGAGCAGTAAAACAAGCGACTGAACCAGACGGGCGGGTCGGGCGGGCGGGTCCCGACGGGCGGGTCGGGCAGGCGGACCCAGACGGCTGCGTCGAGCGGGTGGGTCGCTGGAGCGTCAGTCTTGCATGACTCGCGAGGAAATCGCAAGCAATGCCGCGATACCCCACGTATATCCAAAGTGAATCCAAAGCGTGAGTGTGATTCTTGAGTGCGCAGTCGGCGTCTCAATCAATTGCAAGGCAGTCCCACGCGAGAGCGTGATTCCTGAACAAAGATTGTGGGGAATTCCCGCGCGAGAGCGCGATTTTGAATACATTCCGAGGACCTATCAGGCGGGAGCCGTTGTTGTGCTTCTTGTTTCAGATCAGGGGCCGACAACCCAATCTGAGGCGCAATACTTGCCCTTGTGAAGACAAGAGGGCGAGCCCCCCAGAAGGGGCATTCCAATTCTGCAAAACCAAACAGAGCACCGTGGGCACCGTGGGGGGATCAACAAGAGTTCTTCCGAAATGGCCGCTCCAGCCAAAGCGGCGCGCGCCCCAAAGCCCTCACGGACTGGTCTGCTGGCTCGAGAGATGTCGCCAGGGGAGCTCCAGGAGTGCACCAGCGCTCACGCTCGCGCTCACGCCGAAAGCTGTCGGGGACGTGGGCCCGTGGCATCTCCCCACATTTAGGTCGGGTATGTCCCCCTGAAGCGGGATTTTGGACGGAAAATCAACCATACTTAAAACATACTCAAAAATAGTCATAACATATGTAAAAACCGTCCCCGCACTATTCTTCCCTATTTTTGAACATTCCTCCTGTAATCGGACAGGCCCGATTAAACCCTACATGCATCTGCGGAACTCATGCGCACCTGCACCATTTGGGTCGCTCCTCCTCGCTTCAGGTCGCATTCCGGGTGGACAAGCGAGATGCGGGCATATTTCTGCGGTGCCCGTCGCAGGCTCAGCCAGTGTCCAGCGAGCTCTCAATGGATGAGTCTCCTGCACCACCCTTTCCACTTCCCTTCTCTGGTGATCCACGGCAGAAGCTGCACTCGCCATTCGCCATTGGGATGTCTGCTGCAAGTCGGAACACTCGACTCACAAACTCCTCCTTCCCTGAATCACACGCAACATACCCCCTTCCTGATCCCTGTCTTGCTGCCGTGCGCTGCCGGAGGTTGGCGAGAGCATCAGAACCTTGGGGGGGACAAACAGGTACCAACACCGCTACTCCCCGGACCTCCTCTGGGGTGCATCCCGATCGGAATCTCGAGGAGAATCCGGCCGTGGCGACAAGGGCTCTCCAGGACAAGCAGCGGGCGAGTGGGAAACACTGCGAAGCGAGTTTCCCCAGCGACTCCTTGCGCCTGGGGCGCCCATGTATCGAGGAAGGCGCCCGCCGGTGGGGCCGAAACCAGCGGCATGCAGCACATCTCGGGACCCCCCCTTTACCCGATGCCCCCCTCCTAAACATGCGATGTCCAGATGTGTTTCATTACGAGGTCCCCAGAAGTCCCGACGCTGCCACAGGGACCAGCTGTTCATCCGGAGCCGTTCTTCACAATCCCAGGGCCCAGTTATAGACAAGCGCGCTCCACTACTCGCAAAGTCCGCCGGCCCCCTTGTGGGGCCACCAGGCTGTAGGCCGAAGCTTCGCAGTTTCCTGTGCCAGTTGCAGCTTCCAGTTTCCACTGCAACAGTTCTGCTTCTTGCTGCTTACTGTTCCTTGTTGACTTCTTGCTGCTTGCTGTTCCTTGTTGATGGACCGCGCGAGGGGGGAGGCCCAAAACGGTCATTTTTACCACGCCCTGAGCGTACGCTCTGAAGTGCTGGGGTCGGTAAACATTGACACCCCTCACGCAGATAGGTGGGCTCAGGGTCCAAAAACACATGGGATTTGCCACATTTCTGACATTCGGTGGCACCCCTCACGCAGATCGGCGGGGTCAGGGTCCAAAAACACACGGGAATTGCCACATTTCTGACATTCGGTGGCACCCCTCACGCAGATCGGCGGGGTCAGGGTCCAAAAACATATGGAATGTGCTGCATTTCTGACATCCGGTGGCACCTCTCACGCAGATCGGCGGGGTCAGGGTCCCAAAACATATGGGATTTGCTACATTGATACTCGGTGACACCTCTCACGCAGATCGGCGGGGTCAGGGTCCAAAAACATATAATATTTTTCACATTTCGAACATTCGGTGGCACCTCAAAAACACATGGGATTTGCCACATTTCTAAAATTCGGTGGCACCCCTCAAACAGATCGGCAGGGCCAGGGTTCAAAAACACATGAGATTTGCCACATTTCTGAAATTCGGCGGCGCCCATCACGCAGATCGGCAGGGTCAGGGTCCAAAAACACAAGGGATTTCCCACATTTCGGAAATTCGGTGGCACCTCTCACGCAGATCCGTAGGGTCAGGGTCCAAAACACACGGGATTTGCCGCATTTCGGAAATTCGGCGGCACCCGTGACGCAGATCCGTAGGGTCAGGGTCGAAAAACAAACAGGTCCCGACACTGCTTCACGGCGGCGCCCAGGCCTCATGATTTAGCTTTCGCATCTCCCATTCTCCGACACAGGGGGCCGGCGGCATGGGGCGACCATCCCCTACATTGAGGAAGACGTTCGATTTGTCGGGCGTTTGCGACGGGTCGTGGAACGCGCTCGGTGAAGTTCGTTAGGCCCCCGGAGGCCCGAACGCGGCAATAAACCTGCCGTCCTGCATACGTTTAGGTCGGGCATGTCCCCCTACAGGCCGACTGTCGACGAAGCATAAGAAATACCCAACAACAATTCACAACGTATCGAACATACCCAAGCAATCGTCCCCATACGACGTTTGGGCTATTTTTGAATATTCCTCCTGTAGAAGGACAGGTTCGACTTACGTAAGCATGCTTCCAGGACGCGACCATGACCCAAGGAGACGGGCCCCGCCCCTCCGACCCACGCGCGGCGTGGGCCCCGCACCACGCGGAGGGGCCCGAAGCCGGGAGAGCAGAGCCCGAGGAAGAGGAGGAGGAGGAGGAGGAGGAGGAGGAGGAGGAGGAGGAGGAGGAGGAGGAGGAGGGAGGAGGGGAGGAGGGGAGGAGGAGGAAAAGGAGGAGAGGAGGAGGAGGAGGAGGAGGAGGAGGGAGGAGGAGGAGGAGGAGAGAAGAGAGGAGGAGGAGGAGGAGGAGGGAGGAGGGAGGAGGAGGAGGAGGAGGAGGAGGAGGAGGAGGAGGAGGGAGGAGGAGGAGGAGGAGGAGGAGGGGAGGAGGATGAGGAGGAGTGAGGAGGAGGAGGAGGAGGAGGAGGAGAAGAGGAGGAGGGAGGAGGGGACCAGGAGGAGGAGGAGGAGGAGAGAGAGGAGGGGAGGAGGAGGGAGGAGGGAGGACGAGAGGAGGAGGGAGGAGGAGGAGGGAAGGAGGGAGGAGAGGGAGGAGGATGGGAGGAGGAGGAGGAGGAGGAGGAGGGAAGAGGAAGAGGAGGAGGAGGAGGAGGAGGAGGAGGAGGAGAGGAGGAGGAGGAGGAGGAGGGAGGGGGAGGGGAGAGGAGGGAGGAGGGAGGAGGGAGGAGGGAGGAGGAGGACCAGCAGGAGGAGAAGGAGGAGGGAGGAGGAGGACCAGGAGGTGGAAGAAGGAGGGACAGGTTCGACTTACGGCAGGTTCGCGTCGTGACGACCCCGGCGTTGGTTTCTGACACCGCGTGGATCGTTCAACCTTGAACGATCGGCGGCTTGTCCGTCGCTCGATCGTTCCATGCAGGCCGACTCTGGGCCACTGGCGGCGTTAAACCTTGAATGTCCGCGGCGGGGTCGCCGCTGGTCGACACGAGTCGAACCTACCGTAAGCATGCTTCCAGGACGCGACCATGACCCGAGGAGACGGGCCCCGCCCCTCCGACCCCTGCGCGGCGTGGGCCCCGCGCCGCGTGGAGAGGGGCCCGAAGCCGGGAGAGCGGAGCCCGAGGAAGAGGAAGAGGAGGAGGAGGAGGAGGAGGAGGAGGAGGAGGAGGACCAGGAGAAGGAGGAGGAGGGAAGAGAGGGGAAGAGGAGGAGGAGGCGGAGGGAGGAGGAGGAAGAAGAGAGGAGGGAGGAGGGAGGGGGGAACCAGGAGGAGGAGGAGGAGGAGGAGGAGGAGGAGGGAGGAGGAGGAGAGGAGAGAGGAGGAGGAGGAGGAGGCGGAGGAGGGGGAGGAGGAGGAGGAGGAGGGAGGAGGGAGGGGGGACCAGGAGGAGGGGAGGAGGGAGGAGGAGGAGGAGGAGGAGGAGGAAAAGGAGGAGGAGAAGGAGGAGGAGGATGAGGAGGAGGAGGAGGAGGAGGAGGAGGAGGGACCAGGAGGAGGAGGAGGAGGGAGGAGGGGGAGGAGGAGGAGGAGAGGAGGAGGAGGAAAAGGAGGAGCGAGGAGGGGAGAGGAGGAGGAGAGGAGGAGGAGGAGAGGAGGAGGAGGAGGAGGAGGAGGAGAGAGGAGGAGGGAGGAGGGAGGGGAGAGGAGGGAGGAGGGAGGAGGGAGGAGGGAGGAGGAGGACCAGCAGGAGGAGAAGGAGGAGGTGGAGGAGGACCAGGAGGTGGAAGGAGGAGGGAGAAGGGAGGAGACGAGCCCGCAGCGAGAGCCGTGACGCGACAAGGTGCGCAGCCGAGGCCGAGCACGGCGCCCCTGCGGGCACGGCCCTGCGCCGCCTGCGAAGACGTCGAGGACACCCGTCGGGCGTGGCTTAATGGGGGGGTCACAAATGAGGGGGTCAGAAAAGGTCCCCTTTCGTGCCCCTTTCGGGCCCCTCCAGAGCCCCAGGAGGCTCGTTTAGGTACCATTTGGATACCTTTTCGGACCACACTCGCCGCCCCCCCATTTTCGATCCCCCCATTACGCAGCGCCCAAACCCGGGGCCGCTCAAACACGCCGGGTCCTTCGCGGGCCCTGGAAACGACCCAGACAGGATCGCGCCGTAACAAAAATCGACGGCACGCTTTCCTGTATTTTCGGCCCCATGGGGGCCCTCGCCGGGCCCCGGGACCGTCGAGAAACGACTCAGGATGAAGGATCGGCCCCAGGGAAAGGGTCTGGACTTCCGCCGACGCCGTACTGAAAAAAACAGGACGTCGCATGTCTAGGGACAAGGCCGTTTTTTTACCGCTTCCGTTCTGCCGTTTTTGTTGCCGGTGCTGGCGCCGTGCCTTCTCCCGTGTCGTCGCCACTTGTTTGCCGGTTCCGGTTCCGGGTCCAGCTCCGGAGCCGTTGTTTTGCCGTGTCTGGTTGCCGCTTTTGCTGCCGATCCGCTTTGACGAAACACGTTTCCAGAAACGATGAACAACAAAAACGGCCCTGCCGTTGCCGGGGCTCACTTACGCAGGGCGGGCCTCGCGTGTCGGCCGTGGATCGGCCAGGTCGTTTTTGAAGGGGCCTGGGACACACAAATGAATAGACACAAGTCCCAGGATTCCCAATGGGGGCCGAACGGTCATTCATTGCCCCTGGGCGCGTGGCTGAAGTGGGGATCCGTGGTGAGGATTCTGCCTTTGGCGTTGTTGTTGTTGTTGTTGTTGTTGTTGTTGATGTTGTTGTTGTTGTTGTTGTTGTTGTTGTTGTTGTTGTTGTTGTTGTTGTTGTTGTTGTCTGTTTGTCTGTTTGTCTGTTTGTCTGTTTGTCTGTTTGTCTGTTTGTCTGTTTGTCTGTTTGTCTGTTTGTCTGTTGTCGTCGTCCCAACCGCGACCAACCCCGCGACCCACCCCGCGACCCACCCCGCGACCCAACCCGCGACCCACCCGCGACCCACCCGCGACCCACCCTCCACCGACTTGCGACCCACCCGCGACCCACCCCGCGATCCAGCCGCGACCCAGTTGCGATCCATTTGCGACCCACCCGCGACCCAGCCGCGACCCCGTCGCGACCCACTTGCGACACACCCGCGACCCGCCCGCGACCTGCCCACATCGGTTTAACGAAAAACTTGGCGCCTGCGGCGGACTCGTCGTATAATTTGTGAAACTTTGGCGCCTGCGACG